CGGTCGGTTTTCGCCCAAGTTGAGGTCGTCGACATACTTCCAATATTCACTGTTTGGTGTTCCAGCGTCATTAATCATGGCCAAGAAGATCAGGGGTCCTAGCAAAGTTCCCTGTGCCACCCCACAGGTAAGTGGTTCCCTGTCCGACAGGACCTGCTGGTAACGGACTCGTTGTGTACGGTGCGAGATAAAACTACAGACCCAGGAAACGAGTGAAGGTCGTGCACCCATCTGTACAAGTTTTGTAATAGCAGTTGTATGGCAGACTCTATCAAATGCCTTGCTAAAATCCGTCATAACCAGGTTACTGACAGATTGCTTGTTCTCTGCACCTCTGAAGAGAAAGTCAAGAATTTCAACCAAGCAGTGAGTTGTGGAGACGCCTTTGATGTTTCCGAACTGCCTCATGTCAACACTCGGCATAATGTCACGAAGGAGCCACGGGAGTACGAAGCCCTCCGCTACCTTGGCAAATTGTGACGTCAGCGACACCGGTCTGATCTTATCAAGGTCTGCTGGCTGTTCCTTCGGGACGGGAATGACAATCGCGTCCCTCCACTCAGGTGGTACACTGCCTTGTTGAAGAGATGCGTTCATGATATCGGTAAGGGGCGTAGCAAGTTCATAAGCAAACTCTTTTATTAGGGTAGGCGGGATAGCGTCTGGACCTGGGGCTTTTCTTACTTTGACCTTTTTCAGGCAGTGGTACATTTGCCAAGGTTCGATTTGGGGCGGCGGACTAGTCGGTAAGAATGCCGGGAGTTTGTCCCGGTCAAGCGGAGGCAGAGCCTGGCAGATTGTGGCTAGGTGCCCGTTGATAGCTCCGGCTACGGTACAGATGTCTGACTGGTTCACACCTGGAACATGGACAGTGGAAGCGGGTTTGGAGAGGTTAGCCAGGCGTCGTACTTGTTTGTGCCACTCAGAAGGGTCGGTTTTCTTCAAACTGTCGACATGATCTCTATAGAACTCTTTTACAAACTGGCGCGATACGGCTCTGGAGCATTGCGCGAGTGTCACTCAGCACCTTCAGCTTAATGGTCCGACGTGGATCTTGTTGTAGATAATGTAATAACAGCTCAACCTGTAACAATGCAGGCATTGGTCAAATTACCTGTATGATCATGTCTTGCACAAAGTATGCTGATGGCAACACCTACAGATGACAAGAAGGAATACGAAGTACATGTACATCTGTACTAGTAAGATGCACCTTTTGGGATCCTTCAGTCTTTGTGACATGAATAGGATAAAAATCATGTCATTGACTGATTGAGTAACTGAGACAGCATACCAGTGTTCGAGCTGACCATTTTGCTACACTCAAGTTACAAATACTCAGTAGCACAGATGTCTGCGGCCTACTTCTTTCGCAAAACAGACAGGCATGTTAGCAGACTCACCTGCTGTGGGATGTCAATCAGAGTCTTAGCAGACAGCAGTGAGAGTGTGTGGAGGGTGACTATGACGAACCCACGGGCAGGGTATGAGTGCAGCATGTCCACACACAGCTGCCGCACCTTGGCTGCTGTCTGAGCATCATGATGCATGTGCTGGGAGATGGGGATCAGTTACTGTTTCAGCTTCATCTCAACTGGAGTGGCAAGACCTGTGGCAATGGTAGGGATAGATGTCAATGATAAAAATGATAGTTTCTTTTTACATTTATAGAAGTTTGTGGAATAATACATTTGTAGCAGTGTCAATAAAAATACTGAGTAAAAATATGAGGTAAATGCAAAGAAACTTTTCAAACCTTGAATCATCTCTGCTATCTTGTTGCAAATTCCAACAGCAAATGTTCTGAGGAAAGAACACAAAGACATGTACTAGTAAGTCGATAAAATAAACCTAAAATTAAAAAATTATGAAAGGGCACAAATGCCTGGTGGTCCCTCCATACTAAGTCAGTGCACACATTTCATCCTAATTCAGAAATTGTAGCTATAATATGAGAAATTCCTGCAACTTATGATACCTGGACTGAGCTGGGAAACACGATGCAGCAAATATTGCTGCCTCCAGCTCCACTTCATCATGGGAGTCCAGACTGGTGCGGATGCTGTGATGAGTGTTCTTCCTTTCACTGATGATGCAGGCAATGCTGCCCAAAACCCTGCACAATTATTGCAATTGATTGTAAATATAATAACAGCAATTCACTGTCAACAACACAAAACAATCTTGCTTCGGCTGTGTTGAAAAAAAACAACAACACACACATATTTCACTGTTGACACACAAGATACAAAAATTTTGGGGTTTATGGAAAAAGGAGTCCAGTCCGAATGGCGGAAAAAGCAGTCCAGTCCGATTTTGGGGTGGAAAAAGCAGTCCGGTGGTTTGTATGAAATTTTACGAAAGACCATAGGCACAATTTTTTCTTG